AAAATGCTTTCTTCTTCTTTTTTCTTTTTAAAGCCAACTAGTATGAGATGTTACTAAGTTAGCATGTGACTTTCTGTACCTTGCTGGCTGTGCCTGTGAAGGCCTGGCTGGGTAGGAGTACCCTGTTACTTCCAGATTTCAGTTTTGTCTCTCCATTTAATTATCCACAAAGTACTGAGAGATCCACATGACTCAAGATAAATTGTATTTATTTATTTGTATTTGTCCCAGAGACTGTCTGGTGCATTGGTTGGATCATCAAAGATGTAGACTCCAAGGTGGAGTTGAAAGTGGAAGAGATTTGGGGGTGTCATTCTTGTGGAAGATAAAGTAGGGGGGAAGAAAAAGCAAGAGAAGCCAAGGAGAAAGAGAGAGCCTCAGCCCACAGTCTGCCACCTGTGAAGAGAGAAAAGGAAGAAAGCTGGGTTGGGTAGGAAGGACCCCAGACTTCGGTGAGCTCTAGGAAGATTGCTCCCAGTGGCTGCACTGGGCCAAGGTGAGCCCATATACCACCGCTGTGCTCAGTCATTGGCAGGGGTAAGTCCAGGTAGCACATAGTTGAAGCTTGAATACTGAGTCAGATTCTGAAGGCACACACAGCCTGAGATTGGCCACAATTTCTCTCTTAAAAGTAGCTCTGAGATGTGTTCTTTCCCAGCTCAGGAGAGCAGGTGGGCATGGCAAGCTAAGTGCCTACCTACTGGGGTATGTGAGAGGGTAGATCTAGTGAGTGGATTTGTGCTATAGGTACAGATCCATCCACTCATTTATTCATGGACCCACATAACCATTCATTCTTCATTCTACCTATCCATCTACCCATCCATCTACCCTCTGCTCATCCATCCATGCCTCCACCCATTCATTCATTTCTTGTGTTAGATGATAGCAAAATCTTGTTGAAGTTTCTGTCCAAACAAGAATCTGTCCTAGGTGCTGCCTCAGCAATCAAATCTAGATTTTGCCTCTTCTGCTATTAAGTCTATAATTTCTGAAGGTCAACCAGCTTGTACCGTCACCTAATCTTCTTCCATCCTCCTTGTGACCACAAGATAATCTGTTATCTAAGACCACGCCCTTAACCACACCTTAATTGCTACCTATCAGTTATATCACTTGAATCTTACTAGTACTTTGCTCTGCTGGATGAATCATAATTCATGTTCTAATCCCCTTAATTTGGTGTTCCAAGCATAAAAGGTGCATGGCAAGTGATGAGGTTGATGGCAGTGTCCTGGGGTTCAGGGTCACTGAGAGAAGCTAAGGAGCAGCAGAGGTGGTGAGCTAACTTGGCTGGGTGCCTTCTAATCCTTAGGCCACTGAAGCTGCTCACCTTCAAAGTGACCCTGATCTTTGGTAAAAATATTTCATAGCAGCCTCTCTCCAACTAATATGGCAACAAGCCATGCACTTTTTGAGTCCAGAAGAAAGTGTGGGCATCATTTTGAAAGCACACTATTTTGGAGGATAACAGTGGTAGAAAAAAATGTAGGCTTGGCAGGCAATAAAAAAGAGGGTGATTTTTTAAACAAATATTTCTGCCGATTAGAATTTAATCTTCTTCTAAGTCAACCATCCCTAAGGTCCTTTCATTTCTTTCATCCTATTACTTACTCCATCAAAAAGCACGTGTCTCACCATAATATCAGCCAATCCCTCCCCCTCTTTTCTTCCCCTAGAACAATGTTTATGTTTTGGCAGGCCTCCGCTCATGTGTTTGCAGGCATTCTATTGAGTAATTTAAAGAGCATAAAACTTGCAGTAATATTTTTGGGAGTAAATTTTATTGTTATGGCTTTAAAACATAATCAAATAAAAATAAGAATTCCATTACTAGTTGAATATTGTAATAATAGAATTGAGAATAAATTTTTTTACTGCAATAGGAACTATAAAGCAGCAATAATAAAAACACTATTATTGTGAATATATTGTGTTGAGATGACTAACTAGAAAGCTATAAAACACAACGATAAGGAATAATCTAATCACTAGGAAAGATGTGCTAATAATTCACCCTTGTTAGTGAGGAGCCCATGGTTCCAGTTCATTGGCCCTGAGCACTGTGGGTTACAGCTTGCATTCCATAAGGTTATAGAAATATAATCTTCGGCCAAAGGGGTTGGCAGGAGACCACATATTACAGTGAAATTGGACATGGGATTGAGGAAAATCCAATTATCAGTGACTGTTAGGAAAATCCTGTATAGTAAAAGCCAAATGTTCTTCCAACACATTCTAAAATTATTTGCAGATTTCTACTGAAAATTTTGTATATTATTTGACTGTGCATTTTCATGTATTTTTAAATGTTTATTTGTGGTATCTTGCTTCAGAATAACTGCATGGAATTGCATATTTGTTGAGGGAAAAAGCCTATTGTAATCTTGCTTTTTATTTAGACTTCCCTTGTGTCTCTCAGCCCTGAATCCATCTTGGTTTTGTTCCAATTAGCAGAAGAATGAGAAGAAGATGCCCTCACCTTGTAGGTCCCACTTTTCTTCTCTGGAACTGACAGCTCCATTAAAACTCTTGCTCCTGAATTAGCACTGTTGAGGTGCCTGCCTGTCCCCTCCCTCGGACAAGGGAAGAGTGATGTGGATGTCGGATCTTACTTCTGAACATGAAAATTCTAATTCAAGATTTCTGAATTAACTATTCCCCATGGGGATGATGGAAGATCATAACAATGCCGTGTTCTGGAAGGTTCCATCATCTCAGGCAAGCTTTGCTGACTGTGTTTTCTATGCTCACCACCTCCACTTTCTTGCTTCCCTTTCCTTCTTTAACCAGTTGGAGGCAGACTTTTGTCCTCACCACGTGTCCGCTGAAGTTGCTGTTTTCAAGGTCTCCGGAGCCTCTGTCCTGCTGGATATGATTGGTTAGTTCTCAGTCCTCACTTGACTGGACTTCAGAACATTTGGCCAGTGGGTAAGTCACACTTTCTTAAAATGCTTTCCACACTTGGCTCTGGGACACATGAGTCTCCTGGTTTTCTAACTATCCTATTGGCTGTTCATCTCAATTTGTCTTGCTGGATTTCTCTCTTCTACCAAGTCCTCTAAATGTTAGGTTGGCCCAGGGTTCAGTCTTCATTCTTTATCTGTAACCACACTCCAGGTGAGCTGCTCCAGCCCTATAGCTTTAAACACCATTACAATATTGTGGCATAATAAGAAACATACAGCATCCGGCAGAAGAATTACATGCTTATGCTTTTGTAATAAAACATTGGTGTAGCTCAAAAGGCGGGCATTATTTGCATGTAATTCTGTAACTTAACCATATCACACTTAAGTCCAGAAGGTCACTACTTCTGCTGGACTCTATATATGTGATCATTGTCCCTGGTTCCTGACACAGGGTTCCTAAAATCCTTAGAATTTCCTAAGTGGTAAGAATGATAAAGGCGAAAGAATCATCTTTTGGTATTCATAGCAAGCCCCTTTCAACAATCTCTGAGGTTAAGTAAAGAAGTGACTTTTGGAAAAGTCCCTAAACATGTGGGGCTGGTTGCTGGGACAATCAGCCTTGTGATCAGGTTGGAAATTTTAGCACCTCCCCCTCTTTTCTGGGAGAGGAGAGGGACTGGAGATTGACTGAATCAATGCCTAACAGTTTGATCAATCATGCCTATGGAACGAAGCCTTCTTAAAAACTGAAGAGGACAGAATTTGGATAGCTTCCAGGTTGGCAAACATGTGGAGAGGATGGCAGGACGGCACACGGGGGCTTCATCTCCTCTGTCTCCTCTATTGGATCTTGATGGTTTCTTTCCCTTTACTTGAAGTCTTATTACTTGTTTATTGATGGTCTCTCAACTCTACTGTGAGTTCCATAAAAGAAGGGACTCTCTGCCTTCTTCTTCCTGTATCCCCAGTACCTGGAATAGTGCCTGATATATAAGAGACACTCATTATATTCTTGTAAAATAAACAAATAGATTAATGAATGAAAACAGGGCGAAGGATCTAGATTAGATCCCCTAATGCCAAAGACTCTATTAAAGTTTTCTACTTGCTATGTGCTCAAGTTTGCCTTGCTCAGTTGGACTTTGAGCAGTGATCTTAACTTGAGCCTGTACTTTTATTGATCATTGTTTGAGACTGAGGCACATTTTTGATATGTATGAAAAATGGTGAACTGGACTGATAGAGATTTTTATGTGAGTGGGGTGTGTGGGAAGATCCACTTGGGAAAGGTTTAGCAAACTGTTTCATCACTAAGACTTGGAGGGATCAGGATTTTTAAAAGATGTTTCTAAAAGGAACAAAGGAAGATTTGTTTTTTGATTCTTTGAACCAGAATCTCACTATATCACCCTGGGTAGAGTGCCATGGCCTTACAGCTCACATCAACCTCAGACTCTTGGGCTTACGTGATTCTTTTGCCTCAGCCTCCTGAGTAGCTGGAATTACAAGTGCCTGCCACCTGTCATTGTCATTATTGTTTGGCAGGCCCAGGCTGGGTTTGAACTCACCAGCCCGTGTATGTGGCTGGCGCCCTTGCCACTGAGCTACAGGTGCTGAAAGCCAGAACAAGGGAAGACATTTGATCACAAACAAAGCCTTTGACTATAGAGGATAGTGAAGGTTCTGGATAATGATCATGCCCACCATGACCAGAGCAGAAAACACAGCACCCATCATGCCCAGCTGACCTAGGTGGAGGGAAGGGAAGAAGTAGTCACTCCTGAGTGCAGGTGGTCGGAGTCCTAAAGATACTCCAAGGCGACTTTACGAGGGAGGATATTTCTTTCTGGATCTGGAGGAGTCAAGAATTTGTGTAAATTTGGTCTTAGGGAAAAAATAAAATATTAAATGGTAAAGTGTTTTCCACTATTAAAAATGGTTTGTGGGCACTATGGAATTAATGAAGCAATTGCTCAAGTCTGTTTTGGCTGAGACATCCACTAACTGGTTTATCTTATCTTGATTGTAGGAGTCAAGGCCTTGATGCGTTCTCAGGGACATTTGATCCACTGATGTGCCAAGGAGGCTCAGAATTTTCTAACTTTTTCTGCAGAAGAATGAAGACTCTGCTTGGTACCCTTTACCTTTTGGGGATGCTCATTCCTGGGGGGCTTGAATATAGGTGAGTGTGAAGTGGGAAGAGGAGTTGACTATTACGGTTGTCAACCGTAATATGGAGTGCTTTTGTTAAGATCAATGCAGCTGGCTTCTCTCTCCTGCCTACTCATACACACTACCAGAAGATGAGAGTAATAGAGATCAAAGAATCTTTATCATTGAATAATAATAATCCTGGGATAAATAAATAAATATCTAACAAATATTTCCTGGTACAATGTATGACAAATACCAATAGATAGGTCATGTTTTGTGATTGAAAAAAGGAAATCATAATAAAAATTCTATATCCTTCTTTGTCATAGTTTCTCAGTTGGTAAGTCACATTATTCTAATTACTAAGAAAAATATTAAAAATTACCAAACAATTTCACCTAGAGAAAATTACCGTTAATGTTTTTGGAGAGCTACCTAGCTAGCTAATTAAGTATGCAGTGTTATTGCTGAAATAGTTCAGTTAAATTGTATTATAGAAATTTTCCTGTGGCATTCATAATTGATTAAAGATATACTGTAATTGCTAATAATGTTCTGTCATTTAGTCAATTTCTACTTTCTCAATTTTACAAATAATGCCATGATGAGCATCTAGCTGTATAAAACATTTTTTGCAAATCTTTGATTTTTTTTCTAATGTAAGTTATAAGAAGTGTGAAATTACTGGGTTAGAGGCTGAGAAAAATGTAAAGATCTTGCTATACATCACCAAATTGCCCTCTAGAAAGGCTGTATCAGTTTATACTTCCAACAATAGTTTATGAAAACACTATTTAAATGTTTGGCAATTTGACAAGTGAAAAATATCCACTGTCAACTTCCTTTGTATTTTGTTGATTTATAAGAGTAAATATTTTGCCTTATTTCTTATTCATTTTATTATTTTATAAATTGCCCATTCATGTTGCTTGCCCACTTCTATGGTCTTTCCCTATTCTTAACTTCTCTAAACATGTAATATATATTGAACTCCGTATATAGGCTCTATAAAAAGTGTATGTCCCTTGTTCATGCACAGCTCATTATTTTGCTCATTTGGCACAGCACATGGAGTATATGGGGTTATAATAATTGTTTCCTATTTTGCTTCATGATTAAAGAAATCTTGCAAATAACTTGGTCTCACAGAACAGAGAAACTCACCCCAATTTTTGCCCCAGAATAATTGTATGACCCCAATTAGTCTGTTATTTCTATAGACAGTTTCATTTCCATCTGTAAAGAGAGTTCAGGATCTATCCAATGCCAATAACCCATTTAAACATTTCATTCTCATTTTTTCCATTAGTTTATTTGGTTTCACATGCAGAGTGAATTTATCTTCTTTTCTGAGAATCTTCACTCATAAATCAGAGACAAGACTCTCATCCATGTCTATTGCACAGGAAAAATAGGAAAAAATATTAGGCCGCTTAAAAATATCAAGGGTCTTAAAAGTTGCACAGCTTTTGGCCTACTATCTCTGTTTCTGGAAATCCATACTGAGGAATTAAAGTATGGAAGGAGTTTTATGCACTGAGATGTAGCTTTACTTAAAATACAAATATTATAGTATCTGTAAACAACTTAAATGTCCCAGATTAGGTTATGTAAATGTTGATTTGTGATACATGTCAATGAGATATTCATTCATTAGAAAATAATCATGGAAATTTTTAATGGCATAGGCAAATGCATGTTTCTTTGCTAAAAGAAAGAAGAAGAATATGCAATCTGATAAAATACTTGGGATAATAAAAGAAAAAAATGTATGTCAAAATGATAATTGTTATCTTTGGTCGGCGATTCGTTTCCCTTCCTTCAAATATTTTTCTTTTTTTGGTCAAAGATGGTATTCTTTTTTTTTTTTAAGAACTTGAAACCCTGGAAATAAATCAAAATTATTAGTTACTTTAGAAAGGTATAAAAATAAAAGTAAAGAAATTAATAAAGAAATGAATTAGACTCATGATCTTGCCGTATCTTTAGATTTGTAGCAATTATATTTGTATATGCTTTATATGTTGTTTGAATTGCCATATACAAAAAAACAGCCATGCCATATACACTATGTATAGTAGCAGTTTAAATCAAAATAAAGTATTTGATGCATTTGTAATCATCTTCAACTACTTTTCATTTTGCAAATATTCTACAAGGGACACGTATAAAAAATTTATTTAAAGAAAATGCCTGCCAGGCCCAGGTCACCTTATGAAAGTGACAAGGCTGCAGCAGTGTGACTCAGATGCTACAGCTCCCTATTGGTCAGCTTCTCTTTAATGCACTTAAGGGAAACATTTCAAATCTGCTTGTCCTTATCCTTATTTTCAGTGTTTTATTTTCATGATTATTTACTAATATAAAATAATGTCCACTATTTGATGAGTCTTATCAGTTCAAAACTCTGTCCATTACAATACACATACATGTGATGACAGTCTAGAAAATCTGAAATTAATAAAAATGACAGGCTTGGTAGTTTTTCTCCTGACATTTAGACCAAAATATGGTCTCTCACACATATCGCACACTTCCCGAAAAAGTATAAAACTGTATAGCCATTTGGGATTTAGCAAGATGAAACAAATGGCTCAAAAATGTTCATCTTCTTTGATCTATCAATTCTTCTTTCTGAAATGTAGTTCAAGGAATAATCAGAAATAAGAACTAGGATTTCAACAAAAGGTTATTAGCTTTAGAATTATTTACAAAGCAAAAAGGGAGACAGCCTTAATGTGTAATATAGAAAAA